GCATACACAGAGAAACGTCTAGGGCTAAAACGCCCTAACACACTGGATACTAGTGTGCGGATACCTACTATAAGGAAATGGCAGTAAGGGCGACCGCTATCGTACACTTTCTAGAACAGCCTGGGGCTCTAACCCCTGAATTACTCGCATGGCATTTGAAACCTACTTTCGACCAAACCTAGAGTTATTCAGCACGTCAGTCGCCCCTCTAATAAAGAGAAATGCAAGTGCTGTCGAGAAGCTAGAGAGAAGGGCGCCGAGGTCGGTTGTCGGACTAGCAGACGAAACACGCGCAACGACTCGGACAACTCAACTTGTTCACCGCAGACTTCCAAAAGAAAATGGGCGACCTATTACTAATCCACAAGACCATCCGCCAACTGGACTATTCCGCAGAACAGCATTATCCATCCAAGACCGATGGTCTCTCGAGAACCCCGCCAGTATACCCCACCATATAGCAGGAACGACGGTGAGTTAAAACTTCTTCTCACACAGTGTGCGCCTTATGGAAGGTCTGTCGGAAGAAGGAGCCGAAGTTACATCAGCTGACTCCTCCCAACGACTCCTGGTTAGGCACGTGAGCGCAACCGCTTACCGCGAACACTCACCGGTAGTAACTGCAGGTATGCTTATGCATCTGTGAACTACCCAGTCCCAGTATCTGTACTAAGACCCATCCCTCCTCTACATTATTACTGGTAACACGCAACTTTCTACAAGCACTTTTCACCTCTCATTCTCCGCTCACCCTATTTCTCTTACCACTTTAAAAAAACGTTTCATACGTACTTGCAGGCACCTACAAAAACGGGAATAGGAAGAAGTTGATTGGCTCTATCAGCAGCCTCGTTGTTCCCCTAAGCCAACTAACCTGCAATCTGCAAAAGAAAACCCTTGTGCAGAAAATCACTACCTCCAAAGCTATTAGCAGATAAACTTAAATCACCGAAGGAGTGCAACCGAACAGAAGGAACCAAGCCTAAAGACCTGGAAGCGAAGTCTTAAAGACCAAAAGTTTTCTGTACTCCCGCTGTTGATGTTAGACGTTGGAAGAACGTGTTCCATTAAGACATGTAGAATCCAAGGTACCGTGGTTCACTACTTCTACCTCATGATGTTTGAAAGCCATATTAACCGAAATGATGTCACATGCCTGAAGCTATAGGACATGAAAAACAAGAGAAACTAGGGAAATGAAGCTTCCAACCAACACCATAATCTAGCTAATGTGACAAACAAACCGCACTATTGGCGGTCCATAATCACCGCGTCTTCATCTCCAAGGTCGGCCGTTTAGACCAAGTTTTATTGTTTCTGCTGTGTAAGTGTACTCATTTGAGGAACTGGTTGCTAGTCAGTAAAGTTAGATCGAACTGCGGTGAAAATTCCCCGTGGAAATAAGGTGTTATATGAACTTACAACAACCGGCGCAGCCCAAAGGCCGCGGCCACTGTCCATCCAGCGAACTTCTGACTAAATTCCTGGTTACGAACTCAAAGCGCAATTATGCATGCGTAATATTTTTCCAAAACGTCATAATTCACTAAGTGCCCTAGAAAATTCGCTCAAAATTACCCAATTAGGTAATGTCTAAAAGTCATTCCCTGGAGTTGTCAGAAGTCCCTAAGTACGTAGGGATAGGAGTGTGTATCACTGGACGACTGATAGCAGGGTTCAAAGCATATCTAGTAGGAAGAGAATCATTTGTAAAAGTAGACAGAATTCGATCAACCTGGAGGAGTTCAAGAAGAATTACTTAAGGAGCGATCTTTGAACCATTCCTACCATTATTATTCACCAATGACTTCTCCGCTCAAATCTCATCGTCTATCCTCCTATTTTCCGATGACATCAAAATATGAAGGACATAATGTAGGGAATACGATTTCGTACTTGCAAACAGGACTGCCGCTTCATTCGGAGTACCTGTCTGGACTCTGTCCATGCTTTACTGTGTGCTAAGCTTGTCTTGCCTTTTAGTGGTCATCAAAACCATCGTCCTTATCAGGTTGCTGTGACAAGCTAGTTAAATCTAGTAGTGTAGCTAAATCCTAATCGGAGCTAGTTCTAAGGCTGGCTACCGATCTTCCAGAAAGCAGACGCGGATAAGCTGCACTTGTATGACGCCACGGAAATGGCGAGTAAAGCCGCTTGCAGCTTGGAAGAACGTCTCGCCAATGAACACTGGGTCTTTGCGAGCTCTCTGAAACTTCTTGACATCTGTCGGACCATTCTGGTGGGCAGCGAGTATAGTAGTTTGCGTAAGCCTAACGTGGAAGATTACGCAACACTTAGGCGATGACCGCGAGGCTTGGAGGTCAGAACTCGCGAGTTAGATGGGAGCAGCACTGCATCTGGTGATAGTCGAAAGCTGTCCCAGCTCATACGAGCCACTGGCAGCAAGAAGCCAGGTGTCAGCGAGACAGTCTGTGAAGTAAGTGGTACGCCGATAAACAATCTTTAAAGACGCCTGGAACACTGTGCGGAGCACTTCAAAAAACAGTTTAGCTGCCCCAACATCGGTGTGTCGTGCTCATGGTCAGTTAACACTTCGATCTAATGAGGCAGAGCCCCATAAGGAACTCCAAATTCTGAAACGCCACAAGGCACCCGGCTCCTTTTAAGGATGGAAAAACAACTATAGTTGGGGAACTGGCTAGGTTGCTTGAAAAGGTATGGCAGACAGTGTTCCACTACTGAAATGAAGCTGTCGTTGTTCCTCTGTTTAAAAAGGGTGTACGTAATGTATGTGACTATCATAAGGGTACTGGTCTGTTACCAGTCACTTCGAAAATATTGCCTGCTATCATACTTCGCAGACTTTACAAAACGCACGAGTAGTAGTCCAGGTTTCGCTCAGGTCGTGGATGCATCGATAATGTGTTTAGTCCCCACCAGATGTTTGAATATCGTTAACCATTTGGCAGGCTAACAGTCCTTGTGTTTCTCAACATTGGAGCTGCCTTCTATCCGTTGAGCAGAGCTATACTCTGGAATTGTCTATTGGAGAGAGGTGGGTCTGAGAAATTTATTATCTTCCAAAAAGCCCTATGTAATGACACCTTAGGTAGGGTGAGAGGATACAACCACCTGTCTCCATTATTCTAAACCAGAAATGGGGTTAGGTAGGGTTGCCTAATTTCTCCATTTCCTTATAACTTTGCGATAGATGACATTCTTGAAATACCTCTCAAGGAGGTGCGTGATGGTGGTGTAAATCTACAATCCGGAGAACGGCTATTCGACCTTGGATATGGGGACGATATAGTCAGTGTGTGATAACACAGGCTACTCAAATCTCACTTAATCACTTGGCGATTATTCTCTGTATGGTATGTACCTTGTACCATCGAAGTGCAAAGTACTTTCGCAAGATTGCTGGGAGCATATACCTACGCTCACTCTCGATGATGAACCGTTTGAGGTAGTCAAAAAGTTCACGTACCTGGGTAGTCGCGTGAGTGCTCGTGGAGGTGTATTCAAACTTCTAACCGCAAATCGAAAGCCAGAGTGGCATACGTTAATCTGGGCCACCTTTGGCGCCGTCGCGACGTTATTCTGACCGTAAAAGGTTGGGTTTACAACACTTCGATGCAAGTATTTCTGCTCTACGCCTGTTAAACCTGGTCTTTCTGAGCTCAGGATGTGCGACGACTCCACGTGTTAGATCGTCGTTGTCTCCATAGGATTGCCCATATCTAGTGGCAACACCATGCAAATAATTATGAGGTATGACAGCGTGTTCTGGCATGATGGAGATCGTCATTCAATAAGCGAAGTTATCTGGAAACACTGGTTTCGGTGGCTTGGATATGTGTTACTCATATCATCCTAACGGTTTCCATCCCATTCATTGTTTGCTAACCCTGGAACTGGATGGAAGAAGTTGAGGGGTGGTCAGTGTATCACGTGGCTCCGTGGGATGAAGGGTAGTTGTGTCGGGCTAGCATCAGTTGGTGCATCAGAATTCTCTGGGTGGGGTCCGAGAGACCATGCAACTCAGTGGTTTGAGATGTTATGAGATATAGCTTAGAATCGAAACCGGTAGCGGTCATGCTGTAGCTTCCTTCTGTCTTCTGCTAATGAAAAGTAATGAGTGTTTTGTTTTGAATATATCTTACTGAACTGCCCTTCTAATCCTTTAATTCTTACTGTGTTTTTCTTTTTATCTACTTCGCTTTGTCTTCAAAAGTGCGTTATTATTTTGTGTGGTGCACTTCTTGGTGCTCTTGTTGTACCATGTTTGTGATCTAATCATAATGATAAATTTCAAATTGTTAGTGTCACATATTTGTTGGGTAATTCGGTCTGGCAGTACGCATAAAGTCGTTTTGGTGGTTAAAAGACATTAAAAGCATTCCATTCGACAGACAGCATGCGTAGCTATACATTTATGAATACTAGTACGTAAAAATAACGGAAAAATTTCCTCTTCATGAGCTGTGATGGTATCTAATGTAGTAGTCTATCGGTAGCTATTCATTGCTATGGGTTTTCGACTCATAATTTTTTATATCAGACCATGAAGCATTGAGTTATATGCTTAAGCTTCGTGTACCAGGTTACTGGGTTCAACTGTAATCGAGGGAAAATGTCAGCATCAAATGGAACTAGGATATGTTAATTTCCTCAGTACAGTGATGTTACTCGTTTTAACTGTTGTTCTCTTCGATACGAATTACCAATCATTCTTCTCATATTTATTGAGTATTTTGTCAATCACCCATTTGTATTTAATGCTGTTAATTATGTTTTAAAAAGCATTTCGTTCAAAAGTATGAATCTTTGGCACACTCATCTGTAATAAAATCAGCCCCTTTGTGATAGTCATGTCTGTTGGAATTGTTTATGGTGATCAGTACAGACGGATATGCTGCAGCTCACCTAAATTTATGGATCGTTATGCGTTGGTTATGGATCTGATCAATGCGTATAAACTAACTTCTGAACTTTCTCGTGTACCTCCTCTGGAATGGGAATCATCTGATCGCATGTATGAAGCACTAACCACTTTCCATTCGTAAGTTTTCTTACTCTTTCTCGAACTCATTATTCAGATGATATTTATTTGGCTTTTCTTTGTTTTGTGATCATATTGGATTGTAAAGCAAGTATCATCATAAGCCACTGGATTTTGACAGTAGACTTGAGTTAATAATCTGGTATACGCCACAAACCTGACCGATAGCTGATGCCTTGATGTGATGATAAGTTTTGCTTATTCCAACTACTTAGCTCGTTACTGTCTACTGTAATGCTACTGTTTCAAGAAATTTGGCAGAATGGCAGTTTGTAAGCGTTGGTACTATAGTTGGCCTTTGAAAATAAAGCTGTGCTCTTGTTTTTACGAGGATGTGTTAAAAGTACGGCTTCTCTCAAGTAATCGAAATTTCGGGTAATGTTGCCTTTCCATTCTGAAAAGGTAGGATTATAAGAAGTCTTTCGTAAAATTAAAATTTTGTACATTTTGCTTTGCTTTGTTGTCTTCCATCTCTGGCGGTTATAGTGCGTTAGATAGAGAGTGAACGTTTCTTAAATCAACGCATAGGTACTGCGTGGCGTTGATCTCAGGTATATACTGCTTGTTCGATGCAGTCAGACGAATTACTCGCCAATTCCTCGGGGTATTTCAAAAGGTGACAAATTCTACAGTGTAAATAGCTAGAAAATGTTTCTCATTCAGTCATCTCTACTATCAAATGGCTGTAACAGTAAACGTAGCAACAGTTCAGCTACTTATCTTTCACTTTTCTAAAATTATTCGCCTGTGTGCAACGCAGATGGGTCATCGCCATTTGTCTTCCAACCCTTATAGGAGTTACAGTGTAGGAACGAGACAATTCCCCCAAAATAACCGTAATCGTACCAGTTTACAAAAAAGGAAAAGTCTTGTAAATAAATAATGTATCCAACCTTTTATATACATTTAGGTATATTTTTACTGTGATTTAACTTTAATTAACGTTTTAGAGAATCACAAATTTCTTAGTGATACAGCAGCTGATTATAGACCATGAAGAGAAAAACCAAGTCGGTTTCAGGCCTGGCCGAAAATGTCTCGATCGACCCTTTTTCCATAGTCAGCTAGATCATAAACGTGCTTACTAGTACTTTACAGTGTTTATAACGTTTGATTTCATGACAGCATTTGATTTTTTAGATGAAAACTCTTTGTGGTAGTATCTGACTTTGAACGAAGTACTGAATAAACGAATAAAAGAAGCACTCAGCATACTTGTACACATCCGTGCAGTGGGTAATGATCCACATATATTATGTGTGAACTAAGGTTACTACCTAGATGTTCAAACCTCAGTAGATGAAATAGTGTTCTAACCCGTGAAATATTAGTTGAAAGTCAACTGCCTAAACGAATAAGCAACAGCTCCACGAAGTACTGGATATCTTTACTTTAGAGTACTGAATAAACATATCATACTACTAAAGGTTGGTTACTCGACCGATAAACAAAACCTTTCCACTTTCCCACTAGATTTCATGTTACTCTGTCTGATCAAAGTTATCATACTTCACAGAAAGGAAAGTGGAAGGCAAAAATAGTAAAAGGAAAACGAAGGTTTTGTAAATAATACTGACTGTGGTAGATTTAAATAACGACGTATTACACCTTTAAAATTGAAATAAGAAGTTATATACAATAACCTCTTTCATTGATGTTAACGAGGTAAAGAATAAGTGCATTTTTATCAGTGTTTGATTTTAAATCATACCATTTAAATTCACCAAGCATTAATTTTATTTATCCTCTGAGTACATAGTGGAATTCAGATCTCATAGATACCCTGAATTGTTGATTCATTTCTGATCAGGTATTGTAAAGTTTACATTGTACTCCTTCTCTCCTAGCTAACATTCTATCCTGGAAAAGATGGTGATTACATTAAATTCCAGAAAACAGCTTACTTCATTTCATCGTATGTCAATGAGATGTAAGCACTGGAGGTTCAAGTTGTGAGGTTGCGATTCTCGGAAAGCATCACTGTTGTTTATTAGTACCATATAGTGAAGCTTGTTAAATTTAGGCATAGGAGTCTTAGGTAAGGTAGGTGAGTCATCTTCTGGTCTTGTGAACTGTTACCAACTGAAATGTTTGAACTTTTTAATGCATATCGGGTCATTCCTTACTCTAATGTGTAGTATTAATTAGATTAGAAATAAGTTGCTGATAGGCTATAATCGAACGTACTAAGAAACTGCAGTCATGTATGATTTGATCAATTCACTTGAGTTATGTGAAAGAATGTAGGTTTTTGCGTTTGGAGTCATCGAGATGTTATTAATCAGTGGATGGTAAGGTGAGTCAAAATGGATTATGTTCGTGATGATGGATTCATTTTTAGATAAAGCTATTAGAAGACGAAGATTATCTGAAAAATGTGATGTGTATTTGCGCAATACATTTCGAACAATCTGATCACACATTTACTTGTCAAGTCAATTTATATATGAAAAGGTTGTGACACTAGTCTTGCTAATATAATCAGATTACCAAGGTAAATTAAATTAAGTGAAACAACAATTATTTTACGCACATACAACGGGAGCTTAAGTTTACGAATGGCTAACACTTCGGCAAACTTCAGTATCCACCCCTAACTGTTCCTATATTATATCTTGAGTGCTGTTTTCGTATTAACCTTGTGATTCATGTCATTGATATACTTTGCTATAGATGAAGATAGATGTCTGTCACCTGCACTTATCAAAGTTTGTGTATTAAACTGTTTTTCAAGCTATTTAAGTATATATTCGCTTATCCTAGTCTGCATTGAACGATTACTCCTCCCTATTTGTGTGTGCCCACACAAACATGTAAATTGGCAAACACAGTGGGATATGACATAGTCACGGTCATGCAAGGTTGAGGTTTGTGGCGAAGGTAGTGTTTTGTTGTCTCAACAATGATAAGTTGAGCTGCACAGTATGTCTTACTGATAACAGATTTTAGTCTCTGTTTCAATATCATACTACTCGTTTCCCTTTTGTATGGTACTTCAAGAAATATATCTTCCTTCGGGACCGAGGAAACTATAGGCTTCGGGGTCAGTTGTTTTCTGTAGTGGTTCACAAAGTGTAAAGGATATCCCTTTTCCATTAGTTGATTGTCTTTTTCTACCTGAACTCACATTTCTTGATACATTCTTGTGCCGGACGGAAGATGGATCTATCAGAGGATCAATATATAGAAAGTCTACTTGTACAGGACAGTACTTGAGTTCGTACAGCTTTAGCCCAACGAAATATAAGAGAGATTCAGTAAGATACTTGTTGAATAGTATTTTATATTTCCTTTGATTGAATTTTCTTTTCATCGCCCACTTCACTGCCCTTTTACTTGATTTACTGATATGAGTTGTGGCAACTCGGACCGTTACGCACTAGTGCCTGGTCCTATGTTGATTTGGATGAATGGATGGAGAATTCAACGTATTTGTACATCTGATACGATGTATGATGAGAAAAAATTTCTGACAGACACGCTAATGGAAAAGGGATATCCTTTACACTTTGTGAACCACTACAGAAAACAACTGACCCCGAAGCCTATAGTTTCCTCGGTCCCGAAGGAAGATATATTTCTTGAAGTACCATACAAAAGGGAAACGAGTAGTATGATATTGAAACAGAGACTAAAATCTGTTATCAGTAAGACATACTGTGCAGCTCAACTTATCATTGTTGAGACAACAAAACACTACCTTCGCCACAAACCTCAACCTTGCATGACCGTGACTATGTCATATCCCACTGTGTTTGCCAATTTACATGTTTGTGTGGGCACACACAAATAGGGAGGAGTAATCGTTCAATGCAGACTAGGATAAGCGAATATATACTTAAATAGCTTGAAAAACAGTTTAATACACAAACTTTGATAAGTGCAGGTGACAGACATCTATCTTCATCTATAGCAAAGTATATCAATGACATGAATCACAAGGTTAATACGAAAACAGCACTCAAGATATAATATAGGAACAGTTAGGGGTGGATACTGAAGTTTGCCGAAGTGTTAGCCATTCGTAAACTTAAGCTCCCGTTGTATGTGCGTAAAATAATTGTTGTTTCACTTAATTTAATTTACCTTGGTAATCTGATTATATTAGCAAGACTAGTGTCACAACCTTTTCATATATAAATTGACTTGACAAGTAAATGTGTGATCAGATTGTTCGAAATGTATTGCGCAAATACACATCACATTTTTCAGATAATCTTCGTCTACGAATTTCATTATCGAAATTCATAAAAAGGATTAATAGTTTCAAATTCTTGAAAAGAAGGCTCCCGCCACACACTGTTAAAAGGTTGAAAGGGATTAATTGTATTAGATTAATTTTTTAAGCTTCGCAATAATATTTCAGTGAATATTTTTCCTTTCACATCTGTCTATGCATCATTTTATGTTTTTTAATATCGACTTCCGTTGATTTTGTCCTTCCACTTAGTTAACCAGACTAGGAACTGTAATCCTCAGCTCGTTTATATTCTAACAGTTTTCATCCACTCGTTGGTGAGAAGTATGTACTAATAATTTAGAATGATACAGGCTTACTGATACATTCAAATTAAATCAATAAAATTATTCTTAAGTAATTCATCCCGGTCAAAATCAGTTTTCGAGAAGCATAAATAAATTGTCTTGTCTTATTTTGATACCGATTTGTAATTTTTAAAAAACCTAGTTAGGTTTTAGCAGTAGATACTCACTGGTTGATCATAGCTAGCCCATTTTACGTAATTTGTAACCTAGAGTAATCAATCGATTTAATTACCAGACCAGCGTAGAATTAAAGCGAAATCTACTCACATGCATTCTATTTACCGTTACAATAATAAAAATCGGACGTTCAAATTTCTTCATCATAATATTTGGCTACTGTGAATAGATCAGCTTTGGTTTATTGACTTTTCTTCTGTGTACTTGTATACATTAACTGTTTTATATAAGAAATCCATGAACTGTACAATCTTGTATTGTTCACTTCATATATAACAACAGTTATATGAAATATCTGTTAAACACGAATATTACATACAAACTCATATGTATCTAACAGTGCTACTGTATTGTATCTTGTAATCTCCATTTTTAACATGCTTCTTTTCAGCTCGGAATATGTTGATGCTCTTAAACGACTACAAATGTTGCATATTGAAGGGAAGGAGTTGAATCATGATGATGAATTGCTTATAGATTCGTTTGGTTTAAATTATGATTGTTCTGGTTTTCACAGTGTTTTTGACTATGCTGTAGCTGCAGTCAGTGGTAGTTTAGCTGCAGCTGACACTTTAGTCTCTCGCCATTGTCAGGTAAGAAAAAACTTTTATTTTGCCTTCCTAAAAGTAAAAGTATCTCTTAATATTTCTTCGATCTTTTCAATTTCAGAATTACTATCATAATGTTGTCTACTGTGATGATTCTAATTATTATTATTATTATTATTAGTCCTTTGGGTTCCTAGTGGAACATAGGGCTTCACTAGCACGTCTCCAGTGACCTCTGTTCTCTGAGATCTTTTGAACCTGGTTCCACGACAGCCCACAAGCTCTCATTTCCTCCTCGCACGACCTCCTCCATGTCACCCTCACCTCGGACACCCAACTCGTCGCTTCCCATGGGGATTCCACTCGAGTGTCTGGCCTGACGCGTGATGTCCTCAGTCGGCCCTCTCAGTGCATGCCCAATCCATTTCCGCTTCCTCCTGCATATTTGTTGCGTGATAGGTTCTTGGTTGGTTCGTTCCCAGAGTTCCTTGTTGCTTATTCTTTCTGGCAATCCATCTGATCTTCAGTAGCGAGCGTAAGCAGTTGTTGATGAATGTCTGTAGTTTATTGGAAATCCCTTTCGTGACGCGCCAAGTCTCTGAACTATACAGAAGCAGTGACTTGACTGGGTTGGTGTTGAAAATCCGTATCTTGTTCCACATGCTGAGTGCAGAAGATCTCCACACTGGTTTCAGGCTAATGAACACCTGTCTTGCTTTTCCGATCCTGACTTTGACGTCCTCGTCCGTCCCGCCTGTAATTGAAACAGTGCTTCCTAGATAGGTGAAGGAGGTTACTTCTTTTAAGTTTCTCCCGTTGATGGTGATTGGAGTTTGTTGTTGGTGGTGGTGGTGCGGTATCTTCATCACTTCTGTCTTCTCTATATTCACCTGAAGTCCCGTCTTCGCTGCCTGACCTCTTCTATCAACTTGTTAGTTTTTGCCTGCAGATCTTCAAGTTTATGCGACATCAGGCACAAGTCATCACTGGCGAAATCCAAGTCTTCTAGGTTCTTTTCCGCAGTCCAGCCATTGTATCCCCCTCTTCTCACAGCTCCCCACTGTTTGCTGCATGATCCAGTCCACCACAATCAGGAATATCAAGTGTGATAGTAGGCAACCTTGTTTCACTCCTGTCTTCACTTCAAAATCATCACTGAGCTTCCCATTGTGAATTACTTGGCATGTGGTGTCTTCATATAGTTGTTGAGTGAGGCGGATAAAGGTTTGAGGTACTCCGTAGTAGTGAAGCAGTTTTCAAATTACTTCTCGGTTGACGCTGTCAAAAGCCTTCTCAAAGTCGATGAAGTTGAGGTAGAGAGCTGATTGCCATTCTATGCTCTGTTCTATGATGATGCGAAGCGTTGCAATTTGATCCGCACATGAATTGTACTTCCTGAAGCCAGCCTGTTCCGGTCGTAGTTTTGAATCCAGTGCATCTTTAAGCCTCTCCAGGATGATGTGGCTTAATATTTTACTTGGGGTGGATAAGAGAGTGATTCCTCGCCAGTTCTCGCAAACACTGAGGTCTCCCTTCTTCGGCAGTTTGACAAGGTAACCCTTCTTCCAATCAATGGCCAGGTACCTTCTCTTCCTTCCACACCTTCTGCAATAGTGGTGTGGTGTGAGCATGTCCGTTGTTGTCTCTGCGTGTGTTTTCAGTGCTTTTGGCGGGATCCCATCTGGTCCTGCTGCTTTCCCCACATTTCAGTCGCTTTATGGCGTTCAGGACTTCCATTTTCGTTGGAGGATTTATGTTCACTTGTAATTCAGCGGCTGCAGGTGGTATTTCTGGACGAAGTGCAGATGATGGTGATGGTCGATTCAAGAGCTTTTTGAAGTGGTCGACCCATTGTTTCCTCTGTTTCTCTTCTTTCGTAATTAAATTTCCTTCATCTTTTATTGGTTTCATGTGTGTTGATCTCTTCCCTTCCAGATAGCAACCTGGTTATTTGATACAATGTCGTCAGGTCTCTATCTCTCCTCCCTGCAGCCTGTTCTGCTTCACTTGCCAGTGTTTCGTAGAAGTGTCTTTTGTCTTCCCGTGCACTCTTCTTTACTTCTTTGTTCAGTGTTTTATATATTGTGCTCAGTTCCTCTTGTCGTTGAGCATCCTTGCACTGGTTTATCTTCTGCTTCACCATTCTCCTCTCCTCTGTTAGCTTCCATGTATCCGTCGAGATCCATTCCTTGTCTTCTTTCTTCTTCCTTCCTAATACTGTTGTGCAGGTTTCTTTCCACATAGCTTTCAAAGACTTCGTGTTCTTCCACACAGGTTTCTTCACGGATGTTCCTCGATATCTCCCATTTTGTCTTGATCACTGACTTACGTGAGGATGTCATTTGTAGTTTCATCCTTCAGTTTCCGAGTGTTGTACTTGAACTGCGGTCTATCACCAGCTTCCTTGAAGGCTTTTAACTTGATTTGGAAGGTTCCTTGCACTAGGCGGTGAGTGGTGTGAACCTACATCTGCTCCTCTTCTTGACCTTGTGTTAAGTAGACTGCATCTAATACTCAGTGGAATAGATGTTTAATTGAGATGAAAAAAGTATCAGTTCCAGCATGGAACTGATTATTTCCCTATGAAAAAGAATCTAGAAATTGGAAAGAAAAGTATAGTGTACCGCAGTTATATCAGCCCTGAAATTCCATATGTGCATAGCATAACAACGTCGATTGCTTTATTCCAAAAAAAACACGAATAGTACACCATAGAATTCTCACTATGCAAAAGTTCAACAAATTCATTCTCTGTACCATATCTTTAAGCGAAATAATCATTCCATTTGAATAATGTTAATTGTAACAATAATAAAAGTCACAATATAAAACAGGCATTTGGTATGACATTAGCATCCGATTTAGACTGATGAGTGATTAGAACATCGAACGTCATTTTCGTGGTGGTAGTTTATTCAGCCAATACCAAAATCTGCAATTCGACATAGTAATCCGAGGAATAGTAATGTAGTGTACTTCTGTGCTTTTTTAAGTTCATCTCTTACTGGTGTATCATTTTTTGTTTTGTTGCTAGCTTGAAAAACGGCAGTTTGAAACCATTTTAAAAGTGTGTAAGAATGCACAACGATCTTAGAAGACACATATTAAAGTTATAATACTTGTAATTTCCCTTTGCTATGCAAGGCCAAATTGCTCGACCTCTGAAGTAGGCAGATAAGCTCCTATGCGGATGCCTCGGTGCTACCGGGCATTCATGATGTTATATTCATGTTGGTGACTAGCAGAGGAATCCAGGACACAACAACATCACTCACTCAAGTGCAGGCACATCCAGCTGACGAATCCCAAACAGGACGGAACGTGCATCCTAGATTCCTTTGCTAGTCACCAATATGAATATATTATTATGAATATGCGGCAGTATCGAGGCATCCGCATAAGTGCCCATCTGCCTACTTCAGAGGCCAAGCAATTCGGCCCTGTAAAACAACGGGGAATAAAAAGTATCATAACAATAACCGATATCCGTTGCATAAGGGGTGGTTATCGTGCCTCTGTGGCATAGTGAGTAACGCCTTGGAGCTTTAAGCAATGAGTACTGGGTTCGAATCTCGTCGGGAACAACGTCACTCACTGACGTGCAGGTATATCCAGTTGATGAGTCCAAAACAGGACGAAATGCGCGTCTTGGATTCCTCTACTAGTCACCAATGTGAATACAACATCTAAAAGATTAAAATAAATTGAAAAGGAACAATTCGATGAAATATATTCTGTGGGAAACTCTCGGTAACCCAAATTGTAGGCATGATATATTCGAAACTAAATAACACCACTAGACGGTTATTTAATGTTTTGTTTCACCTTTTAGTGTAGCTGAAAATGATGTTGAACTAACTGGACTCAAAATACCCACTATGACCAACATAACCGTAGCAAATACATATTTAATCTAAAAATCTTTAAATATAGTAAATATATTCCCTAATGGTGATTCAAAGTGATGATCCTAGCTTATAAAAGATGAAATCATGTCTTTATTGATTCTGAGTAATTTTCTAGTTTAGAAAGGTTTAGCAACTTGAACCGATACACAGTAATGTCAGATCCAAAGTTGGTACTACTCAACTAAACTGCGTGTAAGATAATTTACAAGGTTTCCCATTTCGGATCAAATTCAACTTATTATTTCAAGTTGTTATTCATCGTAGACTGACATCATTTAGAAGAACAAAGAAAACTAGGAGCACTGGACAGCTGTTTCGTCCTAGTATGGGACTCCTCAGCAGTGCGCACCAGGTTTCCTTTGTTCCTCCAACTGATGTCAGTCTACGATGAATGACAACTTGAAATATTTCCATATCTCCACAACCCCCTCAATATCCAATTGGACTGGTGCTCATTAGTGACTAGCTTCGAGAAGTATTCCCGAAATTCCAATGAGAAGTCGTGACCGGTGGAGTCAAAGCCTGATGGTTGTGAGGACAGTTACTCAAAGATGACATTGGGTAGCGATTGCGCTATATCGTGAGCTAACAGAAGTTGGAAATATGGACGATTGGATTGTGACCCAGTGGCTCAATGGTAATGTGCTGGCCGCGGAACCTGAAGGTCGTGGGTTCGATCCGAGGGGGCGGGTCATGGGTGCGCACTACTGAGGAGTCCCATACTAGGACGCGAAACAGCTGTCCAGTGCTTCCAGGTTTCCTTTGTTTCTCCAACTGATGTCAGTCTACGATGAATAACAACTTGAAATATTTCCAAATCTCCACAACCCTCTCAAAATCCAATTAACTTATTATTATCAATTGTGAATTGCACTTAATATGAGAATATTTAGAATTCAAGATATTTCAACGCTTCTTTAAAGGTGTTCTTCTCTTCACTATAGTAATCTTAAATTCAACAGTGTTTGACGTTGACACAGTTAAACATATAACATGTTGAGTTAGAAATCATTCCAGTCAATAAATAGCTTGTAAAAATTGATTACAAGTAGGCAAATGGGTTACTCGACGAATCCCATTGAAGTTATTCAGCATTTTGCGTACATCACCTACCCCCCCCCCCCGCCCCTATTACACTACTTAGAAACAAAAATTATTATTTGTCACTAAGTGTATTGTTTCTCTCTTGAGACTGTTCATTTTGAATTTACGATCTTTAGGTAGTGATCAACTGGGGTGGTGGATGGCATCACGCTAAAAGAAGTGAGGCCTCTGGTTTTTGCTATATCAATGATATTGTTTTGGCCATTCATCGATTGATATCATCAAATCCATCAAAAATTTCAACTAACTCCAATTGTCAAACACGTGTACTTTATATTGATCTTGATCTTCATCATGGTGATGGAGTGGAAGAAGCTTTTTGGTATAGTCCTCGTGTAGTCACATTTTCTGTACACCATGCATCTCCTGGTTTCTTTCCTGGCACAGGAAATTGGAATGCATCAAATGATGATAACAAACAGCCAGTTTTCTCAAATGGTGCTGGTCGTGGTCGATTTTCAGCATTTAATCTACCATTAGGTAGTTTTTAATGTCAACGTGTTGAACATTTTAATCATCATCTTCTTAGTAAATAACCTTGCTTACTTATTTTCAACACTTCACGACATGTAGCATGTACTTTGTGGCGAAGTTTATACTGGTCTTCTATGGTGTTTGTTACATTCAGTGTGTATAGGTTAACTCTTTTTCACCTGTAATAGGTTGAATAGCTTCGTGACCTGTAAAGTGGTGTCCACGAATCACGTGACGTCATCTGCATATATGATAGAACAGCAACACGCGACCATATATGACGCGTAAAAATTTGTGTTACTATACTTATCTTCAGATAGAGAGACAGATAGAATGGTAAATCATCGTAGAACCTGATGCAGAAGTACATCAATTCAAGTTGTCATACTTCACAAAGGCAGACAGAAAAAATTGGAGTAGAAAACAAATGACATTGAAGTAGACAAAAGAGTATAGATGAAGAGAGGATAACTCGATGAAGGTGAATGGAAATGTTGAAAATTTGGATATATCCACACCATTGCAGTGATCAGTTTTAAACCATATCATAAAAATTCTGCAATGACTGATATCTATTATCTTGAGAGAATCCCAGTCATGTAGTGTACCTGGTTCATCCGAATAGTCAAAGACTTCGTGAACTGGTGCTTTTCCTCCATCTGATTATTTTCCGGTTTGTTCCATTTTAGTCCTATGTTGCTTATCGAAGTAGTTGATGGTTGTTCTCGGTAGATTAATCCCCTCATGATTATAGATGATTGGTGGTGTTCCCAGCTCAAAAATACCTTGAAACACTACTGTTTAGTTCTTAACTTCTTATTCACTTAAAACTTGTGATAATAATTTATTTGTGCACTATATTCACTTAATTATCATACTTACAACTTCAATATTGGCTCTTTTTTCTATGCGGATGACATAGTTCTGTTAGATGAAGACGCTGACAAGATTCAGAGCCTTCTGGACACTTTGAGTGGCGATTTGAGAATGTTTGGGATGCGTTTCTCACCACCCGAATGCAAATTGTTGCTCCACGATTGGTCTTCAGCTGTGCCCCACCGCGGCTAACAATAGAGAGTGAAGTGGTTGAATGTGTCGACCACTTCACTTGCCTGGGGAGTGGGATCAGCTCCGGTGGATCAGTGGCCGATGAAATCTCTGCACAAATGCAAAAGGTTCGGCTGGGTTTTGCCAATTTACGCCACCTGTTGCGCCGCCATGATATCCGATTGTCTATTAAGGGTCGCGTATACTGCACAGCAGTTCTGTCTGTTCTGCTATATGGCTGTGATACATGGCCATTGAAGGTGGAAGACGTGAGAAGGCTTCAGGTGTTTAACCACCGTTGCCTTCGTAGTATAGGCAGTATTCCGTGGTGTCACCACGTGAGTAACGCAGAAGTCAGGTACAGAGGTAAGTCAGTTGACGAGGTCATGAACCTTCATCGACTAAGATGGTTGTGACACATGTTACGTATGCCTAGTCACCGATTGCCTCGTCACACAATGTTGTCTGAAGTAGGTCCAGGCTGGAAAAAGGCTCGAGACGGCCAGACAAATGCATGGCACCAATGTATGAAGTCTTTGACTGTTGGTTTGAGCCATGTGGGGTGATGCAGACTAGCCGGTTGGGGTTGGTGGGACTAGAGAAAAGAATGGTTGGAGACTCTAGGTGGTATGACTGAGAACTGATGTCAGTGGTGCTGTTGTATACACATATTATCCTCATCTTAACATTGTATTAAATCTCATCATTTTCTCATTCTTCATTTCTCTCCTTTCGTACTTTGTATTTCTTTTGACTGAACTTTCTTATCTTCATCTTCCACTTCACTGCCTTATTATTTGATGTACTGATATGAGGTGTGGCAACTTGGACGGTTACGCAGTAGTGCCTGGTTCTATGTTGATTTGGTTGATTGGTCTTTTTTTCTATCAGACAATTTCTAAGCTTCTTCACATTCTCTACATTGCTTTCGCCAAATGTTACACTCATTGTTCAGTTCTTTTTTTCGGAGGAGATTAAGCATTCCTTAGTAAAATTCACTTTATTCATAGATTAAATAAAATATTTCACAGGGAAATATTCAAGGAAATGAAAAGACGGAGACGAAGGAAGGAAGGAATGTTTATTACTGAAATCTTGTACAGTAGTCATCAAATATGGTACACCTTGCACTAAGACGGTCATTTGCAAAATGTACTTCATTTCCTCTTCTGCTTCTATTTTGATTTGCTTTTAATGCGATCGCATTTTCTCTTGCGTTTCTGTCGGGAGAATTCTTACCTGTTGCTGATAATTCCCTATGATTTCTGCCGCTTTCTCAACATATACTACTTATATCCATTCTGGTCAGTAATGCCCACTACAGTATGATGTTTATGTCTTGTTATTATGATGAAAAGACTGTTTAGACTCGATCTATGAATTACTCATAGATTCTTGCTTATTTCAGTTTCTTCGCTATCTTTTCATTATTAAAGAATCAAGGTAGTAAATTTTTATTTTCAACTATTCATCCCTAATCTTTATTTCTCTTTTTGTCTACAGATGAAGGGATCAATGATTTCGATTGGTCTCAAGCAGTAGGACCTGTTCTTGACTCACTTAACATGATTATTCAACCAAGTTATATTGTAGTCCAGTGTGGTGCTGACTGTTTAGCTACTGATCCACATCGAGTATTTCATTGACCAACTTTTATCCAAATCCAGATACAGATTTAGATTATGCATCTGAAAACAGTTTAAGTGGATACTTGTATGCTATAAAGAAAATTTTATCATGGAATATTCCAACATTAATATTTGGTGGTGGTGGATATAATTTTCCTGATACCGCCAGATTATGGACAAGGATAACAGCAATAGTAATTGAAGAAGTTACAGGGAAGAAGTAAGTCTCTGAAATTCTCTAATTCTTAGTCTTATTCTAAACAAGACAAGTTGAGAAATGTTTAGGCAATAAAATGAAATTTTTGCATAGCAACTATGATTTTATTACACTCATTAAGTTGTTTAGAATAAAATCGACTCTGAAAATACATGGTTGTGTCAGTGAACTAAGAAAATGCAATAGTTGAGAAGTTCACCTTTAGAAGTAATGATGGATAGTAGCTAGCAGTGAAAAAATCCAGCATACTCATTTCTTCCTATTTGGGACTCATCAGCTGTGTTTGTCCGCATGTCAGTGAATGTTGCTGTTCCCACCAAGACTTGAACTCAGGACCAATCGCCTTCAGCTGACGAATTCAAAATAGGACGAAATGCATGCCTCGGATTCCACTGCTAACCACTAACCATCATTACTATCAGTATTGAGGCGTCCATGCAAGAGCCAATATACCTGTTTGCGTCTATCGATTCGGTCCAATCAAAGATGGGGAAATGCAATTGATAACCATCAAAACAGTATTCATCTCTTGCATTAATTGGTCACGGTAGAAGAGTAACCACTTTCATGTTGTCCAGTCCTGAGTGCAGACCGAATCCTATCGATCATATTTGCGAGTGGCGAGCAAGGTTGGAGGCTCAGCATCGTGGTGCACATTGGTAGATGTTGGTTGGAGGCCAACTGGCAGGGAGCCCTGGATCTAGATTCCGTGCTTGTTGGCACTCGTCAGCATGGCGTTTCTGCAACCCCAACGGAACTGGTACCCCGCCTGAGATTCGAACCCACGTCACCGAGTGTTGTATTCAGAGGCTTTACCACTGAGCTATTCGGGCTGTGATTGACCTCCTGTAGGACTGGGTTATATGCATCGATTAGTCATGGGAAAGTAACCACTTTCATGTTGTTTAGTCCTGAATGCAAACCGAATCGTCTTCTAAACAGTCACAGTTTCAGACAGCAATCGCTAATTACAGCACAAGCTATCTAATCGCCGAGAGTATATGGTTTCCTAAATACCATTATTGTGACTGTTAATCACCTTCTCATATTTATTCTGAATTCTGTTCATCGTTGTTTCAAGCTTTTTAAAGCTGTACAGCAATAAGAATTGCCGTAAGTCCGAAAATCTAAGTGTTCTTGCTTTGAAGTTTGGAGAAAACATGATTCCAACAATTATTACAACCGGTGACTTCCAGTCTTAAATTATGCAACGATTCAATTTTTCTGTGTCAACTTCAATCATTATCGTGGTTACATGAAGACAAGTCGGTTAAAAGGAAGCTATCTCATATAGCCTTATCAATAATGTTTTCATCATGAAATATTCACATTATCTGGTTTCAGAATAATAAGACTTATCAACTAAGGTTTATTTCTATCTAGTTGGTCAGTTAGTTAGCGCGTTACTACTTTGTGATTTTGTGAAGTTTATTCTTCTCATTTGTTGTTGGTTAGATATTAATTTATTTGATGACAGTTTTCATCATAGATTGACATCAACTGCAAGACGATTAAAGACCGAAGAACTCTAGATAATCGTTTCACCCTAGTTAGTGTTGTGTGAGCTGTGGCTCACTCGTCTAGGCACTTGGCTCTCAACCAGTTAGTCACAGGTTTGAATCGAGTTTTTTACGCTACTGGGTAGGATTACCAAGCCTCGTATAACTTCAGTCGCCACTTTTTTATGTCTTTACACTGACTTGACATAGTTTGAATTATGCATATGTGGTCACTTGTACAATGACCTTCATACCCCACCCTTAATGGTCACTAAGTTTCTCCGTAAATAGAAACGGTGGTAATAAAACAGGTGTATTTACAACGTCAACGCCAATATTCACAGTATATACAAAATGCAATATATATATATATATATATATATATATATATATATATATATATATATATATATATATATATATATATATATATATATATATATATATCACCACGGCCTTGGCTATTGGCTATTGAATTTTCATACCTTCAAACAACCTGATGCTTACACGTTGGTTCATGTGTTTTTTCCTGAGATCTTAAAACAAAGCGATTGGTTAAAAAAGGCATTAGGTACATGCAGCTTCTTATGAAGATTTTGGCAATCTTTATGCATTCTATAACACCCTACCCTCCTTGAAATAGAGATTGATAGTATAATAATGACTTGTAACGTCTCGCTAGGTTGTAACAGGTTATTCATTGGTACTTTTCTGTTGTATCTGTACTGTTGCGTAGCCTAAAGTAACTGAATTACAGTTTGAAATGAGGGGAATGATTTGCTGACACGTTGGTAAAGGGTATTTAGTGAACCTAGTGCATAAACATGTGTGAGTTTACTGAGTAGAGGCACTCAACGCCGCACAGAAACATGCTTAACGCATTCAGTTTGATAACACTGCGTTACATCTGTTCAAGTCGATTAGCTGTTTAAGCCTCAATTTCAATTAGAAAATGTAATGATATCAAAATATGCGTTAATATAAGTATCGATGTTGGACTCCGTGGTACAGTTTGATTCAATACTCGATTAATCTATTTGATAGAGCACACAGACGGGTATAATTTAACTTACTAAATCACCTTTCGAACACCATCTATTATTCATATTCATTTCAAAGTAATCACACACCTTCGTGTCTGAGTATTTTGCGGCTCTAATACTTTTTCATTCTTTGATTTGATTGGTAGTAAGGTTTTCCATATATCTAGAATCACTGTTGAATTACTCCTAACTACACGTGTTAGGCGCTAAATCGACGGACAGAGGAGATTCACTGATCAGCGTGTCTCTCTCTCACTAACAAAATTTATCTCTAATATTGTTACTCTGTCCCATCCTGTTGTGTGGCTCTCTTTTATCGCTATGGTTGAATTCTTCGCTAGACTACTTATCTCAGTAGGCTCAATCCAGATTTATCTGTTTCTATGTTCTATTGGCCTTACTGACCACGAACCGTTACTAAGACCTATTCACTCTATCTCGCAGCCATTGCAAGGTATTTGGTTCGGCTAGGGATATTGTATATTTGGATCAATCGAATCCTTGGGGTGTAAACGTTTGTGTCTAAGTGAATTTGTAGGTTTGAATACCACCCTAATGGCAGCCTTATTGTGAATCTTATGTAGGGTTTCTGAGTTCCATTCCTTGTATGGCAACACTATAGACGAGACCTTTATTTCCTTCATTATGTAATAACTGCTCACATCAATACATTTCTTCTTATGAATCCCTGTATATTTATGGATAAATTTAGGATAATTATTAAAAAGTAAAGCTTCTCTTATGAATTTCACTTCTTCATTTAAATTTTTTGATTTACCCCATAGACTCATTGCGTAGTTGCTTAAACATTTAACTAGACACCTACCTTTCTTGATATAGAGTGAGATAACCTCAAGTCTAGATATCTGTTGGAATGAAATGTTTTACTACAGACATTTATGTCTAAACTACCGTCTCCAGATATATGGAAAATCTTACTACCAATCAAACCAAAGAATGAAAGAGTAAAGGAGTAAAACTTGGGCGCTGTGGTCGATTGTAATTCCATTTTAGTCTGTTTATTAAGAATGTCACACAGTGAAGGAACGATATCATCTACTGGATAACATTTCAGACAAAATTTATTGTCCATATTCATATCAGGTAACTCCACAACTTTCAGACAGAGTTCATATATTCCTAATTTTCTCTCCTTCTTTGTGACAACAAGACTAGTAGAATTTTCCATATATCTGGGACAGGTGCAGAATCATTTCGATTGCATGCAAGAATTCTCAATAAGGCTCAATAAAGTGGCATGTAAACCAACAGACTCGCTTAGAAACAAGCTTTGTAGGTTAAAAGATTCTGTGGAATGAAATTAAGCAAAATAGTCTGGTTTACCCAATCCCTTGCAATGATCGCATGGTCAAATACATAGGTGGAAGTAGTCGACCAGGGTCAAGTAGAATAACAGAAGACAAAAACTGAGCTAAATCACTCCTAGTAAGATAAAAAAAATTAGAAAAATGCCCGGCTATAGCTATGCATGTAGATGCATATAATCACATAAAAGAGTTGTATAGAGCGACCAGAACAGGCTGAATTCAGGAAGTACAAATCATGTGCGGATCAAATTGCAGCGCTTCGCATCATCGTGGAACAGAGTATAGAATGGCAGTCAACTCTCTACCCCAACTTCATAGACTTTGAGAAGGCTTTTGACAGCGTCGACCGAGAGGTAATTTGGAAACTGCTTCAACACTACGGAATACCGCAAACACTTATCAGCCTCATTCAATAGCTATATGAAGACGCCACATGCCAGCCAAGTAACTCACAATGGGAAGCTCAGTGATGCTTTCGAAGTGAAGTAAAGACAGGAGACAGGAGTAAAACAAGGCTGTCCACTATCACCCATGATATTCCTGATTGTGGTTGACTGAACTGGACTGGATCATGCAACAAACAGTGGGGAGCTGTGAGAAGAGGGGGATACGTTGGCTGGACTGCGGAAAAGAACCTAGAAAATTGAGGTATCGCCGATGACTTGTGTCTTGTGTCACACAAACTTGAAGATGTACAGGCGAAAACTAACAAGTTGACAGAAGAGGCAAGACAGGTCAGCGAAAACGAGACTTCAAGTGAATATAGAGAAGAAAGAGGTGATGAAGATACCTCACCAACAACAACAAGAAGAAGAAGCTGCAATCAGCATGAACGGGAGAAAGTTAAAGTAAGTAATCTGTTTCACCTATCTAGGCAAGGCAAGACTGTTTCAACTACAGGCGGCACAGGCACAGACGAGGACGTGAAAGCCAGCCAGGATGGGAAAAGCAAGACAGGCGTTCATCAACCTGCAGCCAGTGTGGAGATCTACTGCACTACACTGCACTCAGCATGTGGGACAAGATCCGGATTTTCAACACCAATCCAGTCAAGTGAGTCAGTGCTTCTCTGTGATGGTTGAGAGACGTGGCAGCGCGTTACGAAAGGGATTTCCAATAAACTACAGACATTCATCAACAGCTGGCACCTACGCTGTCTGGTTACTGAAGATCAGATGGATTGTCAGAATGGTGAGAATGAGCAACAAGGAACTCACTGTGGTTGGCCTGGTAACGAACCAACCGAGAACCTATCGGTGAACAAATATGCAGTGGAAGGAAGTGGAGATGGATTGTGCTGGGCATACACTGAGAAGGGTGACTGGGGACATGAGGCGTCAGGTCAGGGTGTTGAGTGGAACCCAGATGGGAAGCGACGAGTAAGGCATCCTTGGTGATGGTGACATGGAGGAGATGGTGTGATGAAGAAATAAGAGGTTGTTGGCTGTCGTGGAGCCAGATTGAAAAGATTTGAGAGAACAGAGACGTGCTACTGAAGCCCTATTTTCTATTAGGAACCCAAGGGACTAATAATAACAATAATAATAGAGCGACAGTACTAAAAGCTAACTTAGTGTCGATGAAGGGAGAGATTGATAAGCGAATCTTTGTGTATCTAATCAACACTAAATACATGTAGTAATAGAAATGATTCTGCACATGTTCCTGATATATGGGAAATTCTACTAGTCTTCTCATCACAAAGAAGGAGAGAAAATTAGGGATATATGAACTCTGTCTGAAAGTTGTGGAGTTACCTGATATGAATATGGACAATAAATTTTGTCTGAAATGTTATCCAGTAGGTAATACTATTCCTTCACTGTGTGACATTTCTGATAAACAGACTTAAATGAAAAGAATGGAGAAGCATTTGAACCATAGATTACGCAATCATGAAGTTGTATGATTACTTTGACATGAATATGAGTAATAGGTTGTGTTGAGACGGTGAATTAGCATATAATATTATATTCGTCTGTGTGGTCTATCAGAGAAACTAATCTGATATAGAGTCAAGCTGTACACGATGGATTGCTGATGATCTTCACGGAGGAGTAAGACAAGTTTACTCAACACTAGTATTTATCGCAATAGTAGTTATTATAGTCCTTATGATCAGCCTACAGCTTGAGTAATACCTTATTTATGGATGTTGGGCACCTTGAGTTTGTGCTGATTGACACTGAAAATATGAGGTAAAAAGATTGATTTGTGAGATTTATTTTTCTTACTAATCGATAAGGTTGTAGAAAATGATTTTTATTACTGATTCTGGAAAGAAAATTGTTATATATGTCATATGATAATCTTTACAAGTCGCTTTTTCCTCTGCTGTCAGATATTTACAGCTTTGATAGTATTATTATTATTATTATTATTATTATTATTATTATTATTATTATTATTATTGTCCAGTCTAAACTTTTCATGGATAAAGCTTTTGTAATCAGTTCAGGCGGCAAATTCGGTGCAGATTTGTTATTATTATTTTGTGTGTTGGAAGACGCCAATACCATAAATATATCTGGGAATATTTCTTATCCTACATCAACTATGTTTTATATGTTAATGACCATTGAATTTGAAAGGAAGAGTGAGTGGTGTGTTCAACAGATTATCCTGCTTGACAGTTAAAAATCCCCTTTCATCTCAAAAATACATCACCGTATAGTGCTCATTAGTATCTTGCTTCCAGATGGATATCAGGAAGTTCTAATGAGAAGCCATGACCTATGGGGTCAACCAGTCGGAAGTGAAGTGAATGCTAACTGAAGACTGGGTGATAGTCGCGCTATGCCGTGAATTGACAGAAGTTGGAAATTGTGAACCACTGGAAACCACCGACCCAGTGGCTGAATGGTTAAGGCGTTCGCCGTGAAACCTGAAGGTCGTGAGTTGGATCCCTAGCCTGGTGGTGGGTGCGTACTGCTCAGGAGTCCCATACTAGGATGAAACAGCTGTCCAGTGCTACTAGATTTTCAATGGTTCCTCAACTGATGTCAGTCCATGATGAGTACTACTTTTGAATTATTTTAGGCTTCAACTCAACATAATTTAGCCAGGGTAATCTGGTAGTGTGATACACTTTTAAGTTATAAGTGTAGCCTAGTGCATAGATAGACACATGTATCAGGTTGAGTTGCATTATGTTAATTCCACTTTATTCACTTAACAAACTTACGATATCGAAAATAATATCTATCATCATTAATTATATATGTGTTAAGTACTCCTCTTGATATATTCTTGTAATTGTAGGATTTCACTCTCTTCTGAAATCCCAGAACATTCCTACTTCTGTCGTTATGGTCCAGATTTTGAGTTGGATATTAACTATTTTCCGCATAAAAGTAAGAATAAGTCGATTGACAAGATAAAACAACATCATCATCGTCTACTTGAACAGTTGTGTGATTATGCTGATTTAAACAAGATTACATATGATTGTGATAAGCTGTACAAGTTATACAACTCAACTGATATGTAACACAGTGAAGATTTATTTATATATAATTTCATCTATGCATTCATTATTATTATTATTATTATTATTATTATTATTATTATTAAAGTGCATGGACTTAATCCCATTTATATGAATACCTACTTATTTATATTTCAGTCAATGTGGTTATTTTGTATATATATATATATATATATATATATATATATATATATATATATATATATATATATATATATATATATATAATCAAATAAAGACGTTAAAATATTGCATTGATAAAAGATAATATTTTCAAAAAATAAAGGATAACTTGATTCAGTTGTGGCTAGCAGTGGAATTCAGGACTGACGTTTCGTCCTATATAGGGTTCGTCAACTGGATGTACCTGCCTCCCTCTAGTGAATGATGTTGTCTTTACTGAGACTTAAACTTTGCATCTATCATGTTAAATACCAAAGTGTTATCCACTAGGCCAAATAGGATGAAACGAGCGTTCTGGATTCCACTGCTAGCCTCAATCAAACCAATTATAATAGATATTTAGGCAATATCGAGTCATTCGCATGGGAACCCATAAGTCAACAGAATCACGATTTACTACTTCAAGGTCTTTTTTCACTTTAAGAATACGAAAGCGTAATAAGAATGCACCATCATAGTTTGTTTAAAACTTGTAGCCGATGTCCCATCAGAAGATATTAGAAAATTAGAAGGATTACCTAAGATTCATAACGCTAATATTCCTTTATGCCCTATATTGTCTGTATTACTTACTCCCTCATACATAAACTGGCGAAATGGTTGGTGAAGATGTTAAATCCAGTTTGAAACGAATTTTTTAAGTTTTCATTGAAATATTCTTTTCAAATTGTTGACTGTCTTAGTAACATGAATATAAAAAACAAGATGTACTCTTTCAATGTAAATTCCTTATTCACTAACATGGTGTTGTTCAAGACTATTAACATTCCCTGTAACTACATCTTTTCTAGAAACCTCCCATTTCCTATTACTCCAACTTTTCTGAAGGAGTTACTATTGCTGTATACCGACAAAGTCCACTTCACATTTGAAGGTGAACGCTTTCGACAAGTTGACGGTGTAGCTATGGGTAGTCCATTAGGACCACTACTAGTTGATATTTATATGTCATATATCAAAAATCTGGCTGGTGATCTCATTGCTAAAGTTCCTCTTTACAAGAGATATGTTGATGACATCATAGTGATCTGTAAAAGGCATGAGGATATGGCTTGTCTACTAAATAGACTTACTGCCGTACAAATTCACATCAGCCTGACTTGTGAGAAAGAGAATAATAATCACCTACCAATTCTTAGACATACTCCTGAGTTGACGAGAAAATAGTTCAATGAGACGGTCAATTTACAGAAAGCCTACATGGACAGGACAATACTTGAACTTACACAGAATTTTTCCAATTCAATCCAAGAGAGGTCTAGTAAAATGCCTGTTTAATACGATCTATCGTATCAGTACATCAGATATGATGGATAAAGATGACAAATTACTAACCAAAACATTATGGGTGTAAAACTTGGTCACTGTGGTAGAATGCAATTCCATATTAGATTTGTTTATTTGATTTATAACACACAGTGATTTAGTATTATTTACTTGATGACGTTTCGAGCATAAATTGTTACTGCTCATAATCATTTCAAGTTGTTATTCATCGTAGACTGACATCAGTTGGAGGAACAAAGGAAACCTGGGAGCACTGGACAGCTGTTTCGTCCTAGTATGGGACTGCTCAGCAGTGCGCACCCACGACCCCACCAGCTCATAATCATGTCAATGTAATCACACTCCACTTTCGTCATTTGCTTTTTATAATTATGTCACTTTATATGAGTTGTTTTTATTGGTGGTAAAATTTTCCATATCTCTGGTATCGGTGTTCCATCATTCCTATTACACACGTTGGGTGTAGATTCGATGGACGAAAATTCAGTAATCAATCAATCTCTCTCTCTCTCTCTCCACCTAATTATATTGGACGTAAGTACAGTGGCTTTATCCCACCCTGTTGTGTGGTTATGTGTTAATGCGTGCATTGCAATAGAGGAGCTTTTTTAATGTAGATTATTCATCGTATTTAGGTTTGTCATTCTATATTTAGCTAAATTCCTATGTTCAGCTATTTTAACTGACCCCGACCGACTAGTTTGACCTACGTACTTGACCTCACAGTTATCACATGGAATTTGATAGATCATATTAGTTGGTTGGAGGCAATCGGCAGGAAGTCCTGGACCTAGGTTTCGTGTTTTTTGGCACTCGTCGACTAGACACCATGAAATTGGTTGCACTACCGTGACCAATCAATACATGTAAACCAGTCCTACAGTAGGTCAATCGCGGCCTGAACAGCTCAGTCGTTGACTACAACACTGGGTGGTGTGGGCTCGAATCTCAGGCGGGACATCAGTTCCGTCGAGGTTGCAGATACACCTTGCTGACGAGTGCCAAGAAGCACGAAACCTAGGTCCGGGGCTTCCTGCCGATTGCCTCCAACCAACTAACATCTACTAATGTGCACCACAATGCTGAGCTTCCTAGCTTGGTTGCCACATTGCAAATATGATCGATAGGATTCGGTCTGCACTCAGGACTGGATAACATGAAATTGGTTGCACTCCCATGACCAATCAATACATAGATCATATTATTTTGTTGAATCGGTTCTATCAGATCCTCAAGCCAGTCGACAAAGCTTATCTCTGAGTGAGCAATAATTTATGCTCGAAACGTCATTAAGTAAATAATACTAGATCACTGTATGTTATAAATCAGATAAACAAATCTAATATGGAACTGACCAAAACACTTATGTAAAACGGATATCTGTTGAAGTTTATAAACCGTTGTAGAAGTCAAGTAGCACTGAAGCCAACTCTATATAAGGTTCCTAAGAAAAGTGTTCATATCACTCAACCTTACATAGGGGAATTGAACAGTATTATTTTGAGATGTAGGCTAATATCAGCCATTAATAAAACATATTATGCGGCGAGTCTTATCATTGTGAAAACACATGCTTCACCGAAAACCTAGATACTGCATCAACGATTACGTCACATCCCATTGTGTTTGTCAATTTACGCATGTGTGTGGTCATACATACACAGTGAGGAGTAATCAAGCCATGCAGTTGAGGGTGGGAGAACATGTACCTAAATGGCTTCAAAAAGAAATGGAGTGTGAAACAGGGATAAACGCTGATGGGAGACGAGCCTCATCATCTATAGCCAAACATATAGAAACAGCGGAATACACCCATTTGATCATAGCAAAAAAGATGAAAAGTGATTTTAGTGAAGAAATTTTTTTTATTTTCGACGAAGTCACTCACTAAGCTGTACATTCATAAATACAGAAACAGGTGACAAAATTAGTATTCAAACAGCTTTCAAAGTCTTATATAGAAACAGTCAGGGACTTATACTGAGATTTACGGAAGCCATAGCCATAAATAAATTGAAACCACCTTATGTGTACAAAACTAATTCGTTCTTAAACTACACCTGCACAGATGTAAAACTTGGGCACTGTGGTAGAATAACACACTGTGATATAGTATGTGTTATAAATCAAATAAACAAATCTACTATAGAATATACACCTACCTTGGTAAACTTTGTTTTCTTACCAAGGTTAGGATTAACTAGGTCACTTCCTTTGACGCCACATGCCCAGTAATTCACAATGGGAAGCTCAGTGATGCTTCCGAAGTGAAGTTAAGACAGGAGACAGGAGTGAAACAAGGCTGTCTACTATCACCCACGATATTCCTGATTGTGGTCGACTGAACTGGACTGGATCATGCAACAAACAGTGGGGAGCTGTGAGAAGAGGGGGATGCGTTGGCTGGACTGCGGAAAAGAACCTAGAAAATTTGGATTTCGCCAGTGATGACTTATGTCTAATGTCACACAAACTTGAAGATGTACAGGCGAAAACTAACAAGTTGACAGAAGAGGCAAGACAGGTCAGCGAAGACGAGACTTCAAGTGAATATAGAGAAGAAAGAGGTGATGAAGATACCTCACCAACAACAACAAGAAGAAGAAGCTGCAATCAGCATGAACGGGAGAAAGTTAAAGTAAGTAATCTGTTTCACCTATCTAGGCAAGGCAAGACCGTTTCAACTACAGGTGGCACAGGCACAGACGAGGACGTGAAAGCCATCCAGGATGGGAAAAGCAAGACAGGCGTTCATTAGCCTGAAACCAGTGTGGAGATCTACTGCACGACACTGCACTCAGCATATTGCGTGAACAAGATCCGGATTTTTAACACTGATTTAGTCAAGTGAGTCAGTGCTTCTCTGTGATGGTTGAGAGACGTGGCAGCGCGTTACGAAAGGGATTTCCAATAAACTACAAACATTCATCAACAGCTGGCACCTACGCTGGCTTGTTACTGAAGATCAGATGGATTGTCAGAATGGTGAGAATGAGCAACAAGGAACTCACTGTGGTTTGCCTGGTAACGAACCAACCAAGATTGTATCGGTGAACAAATATGCAGTGGAAGGAAGTGGAGATGGATTGTGCTGGGCATACACTGAGAAGGGTGACTGGGGACATGAGGCGTCAGGCCAGGGTGTTGAGTGTAACCAAGATGGGAAGCGACGAGTTAGGCATCCTTGGTGATGGTGACATGGAGGAGATAGTGTGATGAAGAAATGAGAGGTTGTTGGCTGTCGTGGAGCCAGATTGAAAAGATTCCATAGAACAGAAGCCCTATGTTGCACTAGGAACCCAAGGGACAAGTAATAATAATACGTCACTTTCTGTTTGTTCTCTTCTTTCTTAATTTTAATCCCCTATTATGTTGATTGTTGTATTTTTCCTCCCACTCTTCGGTTTATTATATATATTGACTTGACAAGTGAGTATGTAAATTAGAACAAGACATATAAGCGAACAATTTTGTTTTCAATTACATCCTCTTCAGCTTATACTCTAATACAAATAGCTTAATGTATGTATAATTAAACCAATCATGTAGATTTGTCGGTTGATGTGATAAATGTTTTAAAATAACGATGGTGATAATAATAAAAATAATACTAAT